TAAATTTCATAAATTTTTGGGTGTTGTTTGTGTTATTTGTAGGTTTTTAGTGTGTTTATAAGTTTGAAATTTTGAAGGTGTTTTTTATAAATTTTGAATTTTTAGGGGTGTTTTTGTAATTTTCAAAACTTACAAGATATTTTCTCTAAAGTAAAAAACTTTTAGTTTCTAGCTAGCATATATTTTTTAGATTTCTTACTGAATTGAAATAAGTAAAATTTATACTTTTTAAGATGTTTTAATAAAATTTATAATTTGTAGGGGTGTTTTTGTAATTTAAAAAATTTGGAGGATTTTTTTACAAAGTTTAAAAATTTTTAGGTGCTGGCTAGCATATGTTTTTTAGATTTCTATGTGAATTGAAATAAGTAAAGGATTTGAATTATATCAAACGTATTTTCTTTATCCAATAACATGTTAAGTCTTATTTTAAATATGATAAATCATTTAGTTACTAATTCAAAAAAGATAAGATAATTAGAATAGATTAGGATAACAATGTAATATTTAAAAAAGTTGAGGGTAATACTGACCATGAAATTTTTTTTCCGAACTCGTACTTTTAAAGGGAGTATGATATATATATATATATATATAGTTTATTTTTATTATTAATGTTATGCATTCTGTCTAGGCTTTTCCCTTTGTTACATTTTTAGTTGGTTTACTGTGTATGTGGCTTGCATTCAGCAGTTTATTTTTTTTAATCTTAATTTGAACTCGCATATTATTTTGTAGGGAAGTTTTGTTACATTTTTAGTTAGTTTACTGTGTATGTGGCTTGCGGTCAGCGGTTTATTTTTCTATCTCAAATTGATGTTGCATATTATTTTTAAGGGAAATGGCTTGCTTATTAATTAAAAGGTATAAACTGATTAGGGATTCATTTATCTAATCTTTTAGCTAGAATGTCTGTCAGTTAGAACCGTTTGGGCCATAACATTATTCAAGTTCGATTTATTTATATGTCATGATGACTGTTAATTATTCAGGAACTATTCATTTAACACACTCATGCATAATTTTTCCGTAATATAAAGTTTATCAAGTTGTGAATCTGATTATACAAGTATCCATATCGTAGAGAAAGAAATCTGCAAACGAATTTTATTCCACACAACGTAAAAGCTAACAAATTTAAAAAATAGTCTAGAAAGCTAGCAAATGATAACGATAACGTGTTTCCATGCGACAATTAGAAAAACAACGTCTAGCTAATTGTAACAGTTCAATAACGATAACATGTTTCAATACATGGACATCATCTTCTCCTTTTTTCCCCCAAAAATTCATGAACAATGACTTAAACACAAAATATAAGCGAATAACCAATAATCAAATTTGATTGGTCCATAACTTGAATACTAGCAAGTTCTTTGAAAGAAGCTTTTCACTGGTTCATTATTATTTGGTAAAGGGAGTTGATAATGGTATATATAGCTAGCCCATCGCTTAGCAAATGTTACTTTGAGCTTTTTTTTAATGCTAAATTTGGGTCGGAATAATCCCTTAGAAGATTGATTCTTGATTCACCCTAGGCCTGTCCATCCGGGCCGGCCTGGCCCGGCCCGGAAATCCGGGCCCGGGCCGGGCAAAACCGGGACCCGGACCCGGGTACCCCGGGCCGGGTCCGGGCCCGACCGGGCCGGGTTCCGGGCTGGCCCGGCTGAATTTTTTTTTTCAAAATTTTTCAATTTTATTTAAATTTTAAATTATAAAAAAAGATAAGAAAAATAATAAAAACAATAATTTTATTAATTACTTAAAATGACATAAATTACAAATAAAAAATGATAAAAACAAATTCTTTATTAATAACTAATAAATCATTTACAAATTACAAGTACAAATTTATTTTGGAATTAATCGCATCACAATAGATAAGTAAATCCCAACTAGGTTGGCACCTACTCACCTATATCACTATCATTTGCAATTATTTCCAAAATAATTCTTTACAAATTTTAAGCTAAGATATAAAAACTACAATCTATTCTTTATATCTATCTGCTAGTCCCAATTCTTCAAATTTATCTTCAATTCCAGCCATCCGATCGATGCCTTGCGTTCGCTTCTCGTACCTCCACCAATCTTGTAAGCACATCACCGCTTGTACAGTATACGGATCCAAGCATGTCCTGTGATCGTCGATCAAACGACCTGCTGTGCTGAAGGCGGATTCCGAAGCTACCGTCGAAACCTGCACTGTTAGTAAGTCACGAACCATGGTGGAAAGTATAGGATATGAAACTGATCCATATACTTTCCACCATTGCAAAATATCTAAAGCATTTCCTTGACATCTAACTAAAGAAGCAGAAAAATATTCATCTATTTCAGAAACCTCCGATGATGACGATCCAAGTCCAGATCCACCAGTTAGCTCGGCTACCATTGCATACCTATCAAAACTTACACTTTTACCTCGGGCTCGGGATGAGCTCGAAGAAACCGAAGCTGCAGACTGTTGTGCAGCTACACCATGTCTAGCTGCATACTCATCATATAAAGTTTGAAAATAATTTCTAATAAGTAAATGATGAGTAGTAGCATTCAGGGTGGTTCCATCATCTAAGTCTATAACCTGTCCACCATACAATGACTGTAACAAACTTCGAAGGCCAATATCCTTCAAGCATGGATCAATAAGAACCCCCAAACCAAAAATATGAGGAATAGGCCTAAAATACTTATTAAATTTGCTCTCCATTTCAAAAACCATAGGTCCAAAAGTAGCATCCAAACGATATTTATCAAAAAAATTTTGAATATTTAAAATTTGTAAAGCAGCTAAAGTAATGGTTGGATAATAACAGCCAGATAATAACATGGTAGCATCATAAAAAACTTGTAACATTTCATTTAAATTACATATAACTGTCCATTCATCTTCAGTTATTCCATAAGTGCTACCAGAACTAGAACTAGAAGCATAATAGTTTATAAAATCAGTTATAATGTCTTTATATTCTATTGCTACACTTAACATTGCATATGTGGAATTCCACCTATGGTCAACATCTTTTGGAATTAGTCTAGGCTTTACATTTTTTCTTTTACAAAATTGTTTCCATCTTTTAAGTCTTTGTTCAGAAGCACTATGCATGTAAGCAACTGTTCTAACCTTTTCTATCATGGGTTTAATTTCAGTAAATGCACTTTGAACAATTAAATTTAAAATATGACAGATGCACCTAATATGAAAAAGATCACCATGACATGGCAATGATAAAGATGATCTGATAAAATCAACAGCTACATTGTTATTACTTGCATTATCTAGTGAAAGAGAAAATATTCTTTGTGAAATTTCTAATTTCATAAGTTCTTCAATTATTAAATTTGCAACATTAGCACCAGTATGTGACTCTTCTATTGCAATAAAAGAAACAACTCTTTTAAACATTTGCCAATTTTCATCAATCCAGTGTGCTGTGATACATAAATATCCAGTTTGTGCTCTAGATGTCCAAATATCAGAAGTTAAAGAAAATTTACAGTTTAAATTTTTAAAATAAGAAATTATTTTTTCTTGTTCTTGCTGATAATATTTTAAAATATCACGTTGACAGGTTTGACGAGAAAATTTTTTAAATGCAGGATAAAAACCATCTCTAAACATATCTTCAAATTCATCATCTTCTACTAATTTAAAAGGAAGGTTTTTAAGAATGATAAACCTGATTACGCATTTCCTGGCTCTGGCAGCGTCATAGTTCCAACTACCGAGACTACCAGAAGAGGAGGATTGAGAAATCATGGATTGTCGGATATCACCTTGAGGAGGCTGGCCTTTGTTGTGTTTATCTAAATGGCGTTTGAGGTGGTTGGTGCCGCTCTTATGATGAGCTTGAAAAATCTTGCCGCACAAAGCACACTTAGCCTTCTGGGTGAGGATCCTACCGTGTTCATCCTTGGTGACGTCGATCTTCTCGTAAAAATTCCACACATCGGATCTTGGCCGTTTAGGAGCTCTTGGTGCAGATTCGTCGCCACCGGATTCGGGATTAACTTCGGTAGGAGGACTGATAGTAGGAGGACTCATAGTAGGAGGACTCAATTCAGGATCGGGAGATATGTTTTGCTCTTCATAATCAGATCCGGAAGCCATTTGGGGATTGGATTAGAAAGTATAAATAAGAGAGTATAAGAGTATAAGAGAGAGTATAAGAGTATAAGAGAGAAGAGATGAGTTTTTGGTGTGAAGAAAACAAATGAAAACCCCCCTCTATTTATAGAACCAGCCCCCTAGGTAAATGACCAAAATAACCTCACAAAATAGCCGTTTTTTGACCGTTTTTGAGGGCAAAACGGTCAAAGGGCCAATCTGACCGTTGTTACCGGGCCGGCCCGGCCCGGCCCGGCCACAACGGCCAGATTTGGCCTTTTGACCGTTTTGCCCCCAAAAACGGTCAAAAAACGGCTATTTTGTGAGGTTATTTTGGTCATTTACCTAGGGGGCTGGTTCTATAAATAGAGGGGGGTTTTCATTTGTTTTCTTCACACCAAAAACTCATCTCTTCTCTCTTATACTCTTATACCCTCTCTTATACTCTTATACTCTCTTATTTATACATTCTAATCCTTTCATCAAATGGCTTCCGGATCTAGGCTACCTGAACCCGGGCCCGGAACCCGGCCTGGCCTGGATTTTCGGGCCGAGGCCGGGCCGGGCCGGGCCGTGGCCGGGCCGGCCCCGGGCCGGGCTCCGGGCCGGGCACGGGCCAGTGGGTAAAATGGACAGACCTAATTCACCCATTAGTTTATGAATAAAGGCTTTTTTATAATAAAAAAAAATTTATTCGCTTACCATTAAATAAACAACTGTATATGTAAACTATAATCAAATAATCAGACAGATAATTAACAAAATATTTAATTAATGTTCACCCTACACCAGTAAAATGCGAGAAGGTATGTGTATATTAAGCAAAAAAACCATTGAGGAACAACGTAATCATACATGAAAAGAATCTCTATAAAACTAAAAAAAAGTCCACAAAAATAAACACCGTCTCTAATTTTTTTGCAGAAGCTTCAGAGCCTCCAACAACACCCCTCTCATTCTCCCCACATTCACCCTCACATTTTGCTTATCAAGATAAACCTCCCTCAATTTCTCCCACCCTTGTTTATGAACTGATTTAGGATCCTTAATCACAGGGTCATCTCTCTTGTACTCCTCAATCAACGTACTCTCTTCATCATTGATCAGATACTCCAGATGCCTCAACCCCATACCCAATGCGGGGCCCCTTATACCTGTCACGTGCCAGCACTCCAGCCCCCCAACGGTATTACCTGCCACCACCACCGCACCTGCCGGCATGTACACCATGTGGTCAGTCCGGCGCCGTATACCCCGACCATCACGTCGGCCTCGTTCGCCAGCGCCTGGCGAGCCCGCACCGTCCTCGCCAACCGCCACATCGAACCCGAGTATCCTGGCCATTGCCACAATCGCGGGCTCGTTCGCAATAGCTCGCGATTGCCTTCGCGATATTATCAGAAGTCGCGGTTTTTTGTTGTTGGCTGAGACTGAAGTTGACCGTATCGTAGACCTGCTGAGCCTAAACGTCTGTCGGAGCATCGCTCTGAAGTTTGACATCGTTTGGTTGTCGACCGTGCCTAGCTCGGTTTCGAATTTTAGACCGACTGTTATTTTCGGGTAGCAACGGATAACGTCAGCTTGTTCGTCCTGTGTGATATCGACGATGTCATGGTTGGACATGCGGGAGAGGATTCGGTTGAACCGGTGGAGCCACCAGGGTTTTGCGTCAGAAATGAGGAAGTGTGCTTCCCCGTGGAAGTGGCGGGAAGTGAGGTATAGCGGGATTAGGACGTCGGAGAAGTCATGGAAGAGGGCTGCAGGTCATTCGCTGACTGGGTGGCCAGGGCAGAACGGAGTCAGATTTTCGAGTGTATGGTTTGATTTTCAATGGCCGAGATGTATTCAAGAATGCGGTTCTTGAACCCGAATCGACTCTAATGTCCCCGATGGCTTCGCAGGTGTCTGATCGTAAGCTCGACTCGTAGCATATCGGTTTGGGTCTAAGTGGTTTGGATCCAGGTTCTTCGTCATCTTCGTCATCTACAAATACAGAGGACAGTTTTTTAGAAACTCTGAGTTAGCGGCCCTAGGAATTTATTGGCCAGAAAACTAGATACAGAACAAACACTAAAAACAGAGGTCAATAAGACATTGAAAGATCCACAAAAGTTTCACCGAAGACACAAATTGAGAATCAGGGTATGACATTTGAGATTGCAGAGGCTACCTTGGAAAAAGGAGTACATATCTTCTTCCTCTGTTACCATCTTCAAATCATTTTGCAGTTTCAAGTTTTCTTTAGAAATATGCACTGCAAGAACAGTAAAATTGTGCTTTAAAAACTGATAAAAAAACAAGAGAAATAGAGTTTCAGAGAGAGAGAGAGAGAGCAATACCATGAGGAGCAGGGCAATAGCAAGCCTTGAAAAGAGAGAGGATGCAAAGGGAGAGCATAGTGGATGCAATTATGAGGAAATGGCTAAGTTTTTTGTTGCTTATGGGCTTCATCCCTTTAAGCTCCATCCCCTGTTTTCTTTGCCTAGTGCTCATCTCCTCCTCTGGTTTTTTTCTGCCTTTTATTTCTCATTCTCATGCCATTGAAGTTTCTAGCTCTTCCCGTCTTTGTTTATTGAATCTGTAAAGAACGATACCAAATCTTTTATTTTTATTACACAAGTTGTTTAATTGCTAGGAAAATAGTTGACTTGTATCTTGAAATGTATTTACTATGTAAAATACTTGATATTATATCTCGTTAATTGCTAATCCTCTAGCAATTGTAAAATTAAGATAGCAAGAAGAATAACCAAAAACTTGAAAATTTCAATGTATGACATTTTTAGATTCAACTATCATAGTTTATGAAAAATGAGAGAGAGGAATATTAATGAAGTGTGCTAGGGACTGTTTGTAAATAAAATACATATATAGTTCTAACTAATCCAATAAAAAAAGTGTGCTAACTAATTCATATATTTCCCCCCCTCAAACAGTAAGCACTCACAATCTTTATAGAGTGATTGAGATTGAGAAGCAACTTACAGACAGAACACTCTTTTGTTGATGCAAAATTTCAGTAGTAAAATACAAATGAAGGCAATATTAATAAGTATCAACAGTAAATGGTTGATGTATGTTATGAACTAGAATACTCAGCATGGGGATATTCTATAAAGTTAGCAGGGTATACTTGTGAAGATCATCCTAAAATACTTATAGGTTCTCTATATTTTTAATAAAGATCCCAATTTTTTATTAAAAAATTAATGCATGTTTAAGCAATTACAAAGTCTCTCTAACAACTATCCTTGCAAAATAGTACAAATTGGAATGTGAAGGAGTGGACAGCTCAACTCGTCATGTTCTTCTAACATGGAATGCAAATTACTTCACACTGAGATACTGAAAATATTTTATGTCAAGTCAGAACAAAGAAATGTGTTTTATTTTCTGATGGTAGGTAACATGAAGGATTCAAATTGAAATATATCAAGGAAATACTTGTTGTGCGCGGAAGCCAATTGTTATGCTTCGAGGAACTAAACCAAACGCCGAGAGAGAAGACCAAGCAAACCAAAATAACGGCACAAACACAAACTCACCAATTTTACGTGGTTCGGCAAGTTGCCTACATCCACGGGGTAAGAAGGGGATGAGGTTTTCACTAATAGAGAAGAATAGTACAAACTGATATTACAAATCACTCAAACTCTCTAATTAATCTCACCAACAAAGCTCTTAATCTCTCAAACAAAACCCTAACCAATAGCTCCAAGAAATATCTCTTTTCTGTGCTCTAAATATCCTATATACTGCTCTCCCCAAATAAACTCTAAAACGTGTTTAGGATTATATATCAACACAAAACCAAATCAGAACATGAAACTAAATTCTGGGCCTGACCCGACTAGCGGTCGACCGCACAAAGCTCGCGGTCGACTGCGACTAACGACAGAACCCAGAAAACAATTATAGGGTTTGGCGGCCG